TTATAGCTGAAGACTAAATTTGCTCAGTTTGCTTACCGTCAAAGAACAAACTACGCACCATCTCTATAATATGAAACATTTACGATTTCTTGACCCGCTTCCAGTTTGCTTATTGAATCTACAATGATAATAATAAAATTTCATCTCATTCTTTCCAATATAACTGTTTATTTTAAATTAGTGGGAAAGACATAATCGAGTATAATTTATAAGCGGAGTCTGAATTTGTCAATGGTATACGTTATTATACGTACAGTAGTTTGATGGTAAAAATAACAAGTTTGGTATTAAATATGTATAATTTCAAAATTTGGTTAATTTTGTCTTAGAAATATGGGTCAATTTGTCGAGCTAGTAACTACAATTGTCTATTGTAGCCAAGCCAAGGCCGTTACCTCGAACAGGAGATCGCCTATAATGTTCCTTTTTTGTCGTTGATCGTGGAAATTTGAATCTGGTGGTGTGGTTAATTGAGTGATTTCTTTTGCCAGGCTGCTAAGGAAGTCAGCGTAATTTGTGACGAATCATAGTGCTTCATTTAATTTGGTTTTATAAGATAAGCACGCTACCAAGAGTTTATTATCAGACCTGTACTGAAAAAGAGCTCTCAGCACACAGAGATTATATAAACTATCATTACAAATACTGTAGCGATATCAACAACACATTATGTGATGATACGTGAGTAGTTGTGTACATTTAACATAATACAGGATATAGGATGATTCCCGTGGTAATAAGAAACGAAAATCAGAAAAAAAGCCTTAATTCAAATATGAGTATGCAGCTTTTAACTGTACGTTTTCATATGTGGTCCCGAATGGCTTTCCTTAGCTTTCCGCTGTTTTCAGATCGTACATTATTTCGTTCGGCATTCCCCAATAGCTTTCCATTGTTTTCTGAATGTTTACTGGTTTGATTTAATTTGTTTTGATCCTATTCTTATATCGTTGTTACCTCGCGATTTTCACGAGCGTGTGTGAGCTTTGCAGGGTATGCGATGGTTACAACTACATTTGACGTCTTTTACGATAGTGACAACTAGACGTAACTGTTGCATCTTCTATTGTGAACAAGAAGTATCGTGTTCGTTGATTATAACAAGGAATGGAGGTCGTTTTTTCGATGTTTTCCGATGGTAGATTCAAGTATTCACACGGCTACGCCGACGTTTAGTGATAGCGATTTCCCGATGGTTGTATAAATTTTTGTACCATATTTTTTATATTATTATATCACATCCGATCTCTCAATCGCACTAAAAATCTGGGTCGGTTGTGAATTGCATGACAGTATAACAACAGTATAGCAACGAACTATTCCATCGCTAGTAATATAATTAAAATATATAACCACTTCACCCCTACAGTCAACTGGGTTTATAGCGCGGCTTGTGAATATCGATCCTTGACGGTCAATGCACTGCTTGACAAACCAGCAAAGTCTCGGATAAGACACATATCCAGAATAACTTCATTCTTGTAAAGATATGTGACACGAATAGGTGAGCTTAGCTATGTCTTTTTTTCGTAATAACTTAATCATTGGCAAGCTTTACTGGCTGTTCATTCCATGGCGTTGTAATTCAATGCACAGTACTGCGGTTTACCATGTATACGTGACAAGACTTGACTATATGTTCCGTCATACTGTGTTTGTTGTAATTGGTTTCCATGGTGACATCATAGTGGAATGGTCCAAACTAAAGTAACCCATTGATATACAGTGTCACTTTACCTACTGTGAGTGTGGTATACTAATAGTTATTTCACAGCTGCTTTACATTATGGTTCTAGACATTGTCAACCCTACACCGCACCTTTATATTGAGATTTAAGATTTACAGTACTATTTCGTTGTGCAGCGGTAGCATAATACAAGCCAGGGGCATTGCTCAGAGGATATAACTCGCCTTGGTGTTGAAAAGATATCCATCGACTGGAAGTTGAAAGAATGGCATTTCACCCGTTAGCGTGTTTGTTTTAACCACATGTGACATGTGTTCACACATCTTCCGTAATTTAATTTCCACTGCCAGTGTTCGACGTTTTTTTTATAGTAGATTTTACGGCACAGACTTCATCGCTATAGTAACCATTATCGCAAGTTAAACAACCGACTGTTTAGCTTGAAACGTTTTATTTGAACAATGCATGTCGACTTTGTTAACACCGCATTATGGCTTCGATTTGCAATAACGGTGGCAGGTGGTTTAACAGCCTACAATGTTTGAAGTCAAATTTTGCATCTGACTCAAATGTCATCAACATACTTATGTATTCGGGTTATCACCAGTAAACACAAACACGAATAGCGTGTGCCAAGTAAATATAACACCTGATGAAGTACACTGATAAGTAAAATATTTTATGGGGTCAAATGTCATTGGCAAGGAGACGGTGCATTTTAATGAGCGGGAAGACATAAAAATAAACTAGTTTGAATTTATTTAATTGCATTAATATAACCAATGAATAAAATGTTCGGGTAATTTAAAAAACACATACTTATGTTTATACTTCTTGTTGGTTGCCATGAGACTGTTAACAGCTCACCGTGTCATTATTATGGTATGCGTACACAGTGACAAAAAAATGGGACCAAAAGCTCAAAGTACAAAGTAGTCGAATAACATCTCCTTGCCGTTTGGGTGGCCATCATTTCTGCTGAAGGAGGGGGATATATTGGCGTGTATATTCTGATTGTCGACCCGTTGCTAGAGGTGAGGTGTCAAATGTTGCTTCTCTATAGATCAAGTGCATTTCGTCTTGCAGATTAGCCCCAATCCCATTTGTTTTTGTTTTGTTCAATTGAAGGATAGCTGCATAATAGCTGCATCTAGTGTGTCGCTAAGATGAATCATCAAACTGTAAATTAAACAAATCACGCTACATACTTCACCAAACTAGGTACACGAGATTCAGTCGAGTTGTAATTTAATGTATTCTGTTGTTAAACATAGTTTGTCTAACGCGTTCAAAGGTATAAACGCACCCACACGATAATCGATAAACAAGTATTTACATAAAAGCGTGTAGACAATATTTACCATGTTCGCATGCTGTTATTTATTTATTTATTTATTTATTTATTTATTTATTTATTTATTTATTTATTTATTTATTTATTTATTTATTTATTTATTTATTTATTTATTTATTTATTTATTTATTTATTTATCTATTTATTTTATTTATTTATTTATTTATTTATTTATTTATTTATTCATTCATTCATTCATTCATTCATTCATTCATTCATTCATTTATTCATTTTTTTATTTATTTATTTATTTATTTATTTATTTATTTATTTATTTATTTATTTATTTATTTATTTATTCAAGTGTCTTATCATGGCGGCCACTGAGATATCAGGAATCAATTCGCTACTTGCGGATATAAGTGACCAGCTCTCAGAAAAAGAGGTGACGTCGATAAAGGATCTTCTTATTGGAAAACAACTCCTAAAAAAAGATGAAACACAGTACATATCTGGAATGAACATTTTTCGCGTACTGCATGACAGGGGGGATATTTCAGTAACCAATTTAGGGTTGCTTAAGAAGTTAATTGTTGAAATACATCGGAGACCTCTACTGGACCTCGTCGAGACATTCGAGAAACGACAAGGTATGAATTCCAATTATTTTATATTCTAGCCGATATAAATTAATATAACTATTATATTAGTTTGAAATCGCTTTGATTTTCATCGACGGATTAAATGTCATGGAAATCTAACGACGTGTATGACATACTACAGCAAATGATATGATGACATGAAGTCATTGTCTTCTTTTATCTATAGTCATGTTGGTGTTGAAGATACTAATTTGTTAATATTTTATGCTTGGATTGTTTTCCCCACAGTGCCAGTTAGCAAAGACAAACATAGAAAGAAGCTGACAAGTCCACGTAAGGTCAAAGACAAAAAGGTCCAGGAGTTAGAAAAAGAGTTCTTTAATCTGGAGAAAAAGGTGAGTTCCATATTAATCACCGTAAGCACTTGTCACGTTTATTCCTATCAAGTACATTATGATTAAAACAAAATAAAGTACAGCTAAGATCATGAATGGTTTGCTCCAGACTCCTTAATATAACAGGGAACCATCAACATCAATATTTATATGTCTGCTAACATCTTTCATGTCTGTACGTTCACTCAAATAAATTATCTCATTGTGTTGTAAGATGGGCGAAAAAGAAAGTGAACTGGATTCCGCTTTTGACAGACAGAGAAAATACCAGCAAGTCCTAATGGAGCTGATCTCAAGAATGGAATCAACTCAATCCAAACTTAGTGCAGCAGGTGAGATAGAAGATCCTGACGAGCAACTAAGAGTACTGCAGGTACGTGAAAGATAGTAGTGGCATGACAGTGCTCGTGATTTAAATTAGGTTGTTTTCATTCGTTTTACATGGACATAAAAAAAATCATCCAAATACCATCTTCCTCGAAGTGTTATCACACAAACAAAGCATCAATGCATCAATTCTTTTAGCTCAGGGTTTTGATATTCAGGTAGTCATGAATCTAACATTTTAATAATTTGATCTTGTTATCAGGAAATAATGAAGGAAATAGCTGAATTGAAGGAGTTTGCTGGTATTGTTGCTGACAATGGAAGTAAGTCATTGGAGGAGGGCGATGTTCAAGGACAGCATGCTATTGAGGCAACACTTGGGATAATCACAGATACTCTAGATAAATTACATGCACAGTCTACCAGTAAACATAACGTATTAGAGGTAGGATGATACTATCATTAATTACATCTATCTATCTATCTATCTATCTATCTATCTATCTATCTATCTATCTATCTATCTATCTATCTATCTATCTATCTATCTATCTATCTATCTATCTATCTATCTATCTATCTATCTATCTATCTATCTATCTATCTATCTATCTATCTATCTATCTATCTATCTATCTATCTATCTATCTATCTATCTATCTATCTATCTATCTATCTATCTATCTATCTCTCTCTCTCTGTGTCTCTCTCTCTCTCTCTCTCTCTCTCTCTCTCTCTCTCTC